CGGGTCCCTGGCGGGATTCGAACCCACGACCTTACGGTTGCGAGTCCGAGAGCCTAACCACTAGGCCACCGAAACCACCGGAGGGAGGGAGGGAGGGAGGGAGGGAGGGATGTCCCAGCACGTGAGACATGTATTTACTTGGCCTAATGTCCTGTCTTGTTGTGCGTTTGCGTGAGTGCACCTTTAAGTCTAACTTTTGTAACGTCTACTGCCATTGTTAACGACCAAGACAAATTTCTCCCTGTGAGATAAATAAAGATTGTCATTGTCATTGTCAAATTCAAAGATTTTTGCCTTAGAAAAAGCTTGACATGATATAAAATTTCTCCAAACTATGAACTGAGCAGATAAAACTTTTGAAACTCTGAGGTAGCAAAGAGTTGTTCATGTACTTCTGCCCTGGACTATAGTCTCTGCATCTGTCCAGCTGTATCCCGTCTCCCTTAAGTCCGAATCCAAGTCCCTCCTTCAATTACTTTTAGGCCTTCCCTTCTTTCTCTTTCCTGGTGGATTCCTTTTATTATTATAGCCTCAGAGTATATTACACTGGGAAAGTACAAGAAGGCTGTACATTGGGATAAGCGTAATCAGCAGTGATCCTTCGGAAATAAAAAAAGACTGAATTTTTGTGTGTGTATGTCTGTCATACTATAATTCGATTTATAATTTTTAAATTTCTGAGCGAATTTTTTGTTGTATGATATAAATACTGTACTAGACTCAAATATGTGAGGCAGCGTGGTGGAATCAGGCTCTCGTCAAAATAATGAAATCAAAGAAAACAGCAGTTTTCTCCCTGTGTAGCAATTTTTATCATACTTTTGTTTTTTGACTCAACAACTTTTATGTCCATTTACAAACACATTCCTTGGAGGATTTCACCGAAAACGTTGATTAAAGGCACAAAAATATAAATTTGCAGTTTCTATGGACTCTCCAGCTTTGGAATTTACCAAGCTTTGGCAGCCATTTTCTCGCTAATATTACCTCTTAAATCAGGTTACCCCCACCTCCTTCAATCCAAAATATCTCCACTTCTATTGAAGATGGATGGGTAATTTTTGTTTTGAAAGCAAGACAAATGAACAAGCTTTAAAATGATACCAATAACTCAATGTGCCCAAAAATTGACGAGAGCCTGATTCCACCACACTGCCTCAAATATGTCAATATGAAGGCGTGGCACAAAGCTTAATGGTAAAATTGAAAAACAAAGGAAGTCACGCTTGCTTATTACCCCCCGGGGCAGTGCTACTGACTGAAGTGTCTTTAGGCCATTCCCAAAGGGGGGACATTTCTCGTTCAAGCAT